CCCCCAAAACCCCAAAACCCCGTCAAGAGCATTCTAAGCTAATAAAAGTAATAGAATCTCTTTTAAAACAATAATGCATTTATTAGTTTAGATGGTAATCTCAACTTTACCTTGTTAATTTTTAAAATAATGATTTTCACTAAGTTAACTACATTCATTATCAAATATTAAAGTTTTAGTTGTCATATATTCTTTATCTTCTGAAAATCATCTTATTAAAAACATAATATTTGGAAATGGATACTACTGACGACTCAATCTAGCATCATTCAAAATCTGTCTCAAACATGCATGACCCCCTAATTAATAAATCTGCAGATATAAGTTCTTATATGGTATCTGTTTCAGGAGAATAAAAGATAACATTCACAGCTTTTGATGGTGGTAATACAACTTGGGATAACACAGCACCAACTATCGTCGATTACTCTAATGTTAAAAGAGATGGATTAGGTAAAAGAGAGGTGGCTGCTTATGCTGTTGGCCATTTCAATAATGATCTATGTGCTGCTGCTTGGTTTACATATGTACTATACTATATCTAAGATGTAGTTGGCTTAGACCCAGTTATTGCAGGTTTTGCAATGTTAAGTGGCTAAATAGCCGATGGGATTACTACTCCGATTGTTGGATTCGGTAGTGATAAATGCAAGACAAAAATAGGCGCCAGAGCTCCTTGGTATTTGGCTGGAAGTATTCTAGTAATTCCCTCTTTTCTGGGCATTTTCATATACCCTGGCTTCGAAGGTGGAGCGCAAATTGCCTATTATATAATACTGCCTGCAATATTCAATGTAGGATGGGCTTGTGTCCAAATATCCAATATGGCTGTCGTAAATTCTATTACATTTAGTACGTAAAGAAGAGATAGACTTATATCTCTGAGAAATGGATTCACATTCGTAGCAAATTTTACAGTATTGACCTCGGCTTTGATAATTTTTGTCATCCTCAGTGACCCTATATGGCAATTTAGAGTACTTTGCTTCTTGATTGTTGGACTTGGAGCATTTAGCAGTTCCTTTTATTTCATCACAATTAAAGAACCATTTTTATCAGCTGAAGCGAAGAGACTCCAAAAGGAATTCAAGAAAATAAGTAGAACAGAATACAAAAAAGAGGAGGATAACAGAATTAGTGCGAGACAATCAATGCTTAGTTCAAACATAAAGTAATGGTATCATTGGTTTGGAGAAGGCTAATTCTACATTTATGGAATGGTTTATATGATGGTCAGAATAGCAGTCAATGTCACAATGTCTGTTTAACCTTTTTACTTGATTATAGTTACTGGATTTATTAAAACAGAAGAAAATCCAACTCCTATTGCAATTGCACTTGTGCCTCTAGTATCCTACATAAGTTCAATGATATTCTCTTTATTCTTCTATAAGAAGATGATGAATGCTTTGAAGAACAGATTCATACCCTTATTCGTATCAATTATTATCATATCATGCGGTTCTATCCCTTATATTTTCCTTAACAGTGAGTCAAACATAAGATGGTTGGTCTACCTGCTTTCTTCAATTCAAGGTGTCGGACTTGCAATTATGCTTAACACAGCTACAAGTTTGATATCAGATGTTATTGGAAAGGATGATTAAAGCTCGGCTTTCGTTTATGGCGCCTATAGTTTCTTTGACAAGGTTGCCAATGGTATTTTGATCTTTTTTATCACGGCTTATTTTAATAAAAAGGAGCAGCCTTTAAGATATATCATTGGATTAATTCCTGTAATTTGTTCTATTGCTGCTTTTGGCTTGACTTATTTAGGAAAGGTTTTATATTCTGAAAGATTAGCTTAGCTTTCTATCAATAAGAAATGATTATTGATAATATCACTCTACAAAATATCAAATGCCAGTATTAAATCATATAAATTTAAAAACTTTACTCTCATTTTTATGCAAAATTTACTTTGAGGGGTTTTGGGGTTTTGGGG